GCATAATCTTCGCATCATATAATATCGACACAGCAGCACGTGACATAATTCCTAATTCTATACTGGCCATTCTGTGTCATAAGGCAGTGTCGGTAGCAATTTCTAATTAGGCCAGATCAATTTGATTTGGTGGTTTACATTATCCCCCTTTTGAAAAAGAGATGTAATGCAAACCACCAAATCAAATTGGTCTTGCCTTATTAACCAATAAACCATACAGTTTTTTTAATACCAGAAAAAAACAAAAACATTAAGAGAAAAATTTATACAAATCGGAAAACAATATAGATTATATGCATATAGAAAATAGAATATATAAGGTGGGACAAGAATGGTGTTCACTACTAGAAATAGCCAGGGCGGCCCCAAAGTGCCAGTGACGTAAATCATTTCACCAATCAGATTATACTATATATTTAACAAGAAGCGATGATTTAGTATATATAGTATTACTCGATTGTTGAAATGATTACGTCACTGGTACTTTGGGAAGCCGCCCTGGCTATTTCTCACTACTAAAACAACCAGAACCACCACTAAATCTACTATCTATGAATCCAAATTCATATACGATCTATAAACCCAAACTTTAAAAACCAAACCAATGTAGGAAATGTCTTAAGTACAAATCCGAATCTCTCGCTGCCAACACCACTAACAAGCTTCCCTGTCTTAAAGGTTCAACTCGCAATCTCAAAAAAAAAGAAGCCAGCTATTTGATTAGTACCTAATTTTTTATGTAAATCCAGACGAAACTTTTTTTCTTACTTCAGAAAATCGTTTCTAAGCTAACTTCCTTGAATATAAGATGTAAAAGATTAATTCTAGGGTAGTGATCCGAATAGTTTAGTTGAAAATCAACTAGTTGATTTAATTATCAACTAGTTCAATTCCGTGATATTCCGTCTAGTCGGGCTAATCCGTGTTGGCTTCTTTAGTTCGACAAACTTAGTCACATGATATGAAAATCGATTAGTTGCAACTATAGTTGACAACTAATCGATTGGAAAAATATTTACCAACTAGGAACACTATTCTAAGGTTAACTTTCTGGCACTCTTTGGAGTTAGAACTAATGTTTATAATGCGTAATTTTACGTTCTCAAAAACAGGTACTACAAAGTAGGGCTGTTAAAAGTCCGATCCTTTCGGTCCTGACTCCGTAAATAGGGACTTCGATTAGGACTCTGTCCTTGAGTCGAGTCCGTGCATATAATAATAATAATCAGTATTGTATTTTGGTCAAATCGATCTCGATGCAAATTAACCAATCACATGCATGCCCTTCTAGAACAAAGACATGCATATGGAGCTTTGTCTGGGACAGGCTTGAGTCGGTCCTAAAAAGTCCGTGTGAAGTCGACTCAAGGACCGGGTCCAACAAGCTTTTTAACAACCCTACTACAAAGTTATAAATAAGTTGCTCGAATAATTGATTTACATAAGCTAATCAAACAAACTTCTGCCTATGTTGCACCTGACCTTAACAAAACTTTTTTAGATTGGTAATGTAGGTCGGTTGTTTTGGTTCGAGTCTGTAAAACACCAATTTGCATTAATGCAAACTTTGAAATGGCCATATACGGCTAGGGGAGAGCAAAACCCTCTCCGGGTTAATCAAACTTTTCGTGATTTGATTGGTTAGTTATAGTGATGTACGAGTCTCCTAAAGAAATGGTTTTAAAATATCTCGATTTTTTAGTATACAAATCAATTTCCATCTATATATCATTGAAAAATGTAGCACATATCAAAATTTATCCGAATATGTCAAAAACTCGATTTTCATTTTTTGGACAGTATCGGCCCTTTCTACCTTTCTACTGCAAAGGCCCCAAATGTTCAAGTAGACAAACTTTAATTATAAATAATTGGAAAATTTCAGGTCACATTAACAAGATAGTTGTTTGACGCTGTTGCACACAAAAAGTATATAAAACTCATACAATAAAATCCTTGGTTAGAGTTATATCATAATTATAGTTAGCTAGTATTAATAAGTTTTGTCAGAGATCATTTAAAAAAATTTGCTATGGTGCAAATCATCTAAAGATATCTGATGAATATCCAAAATTTTTGAAAACGAATCAAATCTGTAAAGTAGTGCATCTTTTTTATTTATACAAATTTACGCTTGTTCATCAAGGAGATACAATATAAACTTCCAAAGAATGTTATTATTATGTCAGGAGCATATGTCTAAGATTGGTTCTGAAATGTGCAGAGTCAATCGTGAAGATCAATAAAACAAAAACTTATACATTATTTATTGTGAAATTTTTGTTTTATTATATCAATTGTGAAGATCCTTCACAAATAGAAAAATATTGTTTGATTTCAAAATAATGTCAATAAGTGTACGTACTTAAAATAACGTACAGATTAGTGATACAAATCGAAAATCGAGTTAATCGATTAATTGTAAAGTTGACAATTAATTGATTTGACAAACCCAACTTAGTCGATCAATCAACTAATATCAATCCGACTGTTTCAGCTGCTACTTTACGTGTATATTACCAAGTTTCATTTATTATTTTATTCAACTAATCGATTAGTTTGCCAATCGTTTGGTTGAATAAAATGATCTATCAACTAATCGATTTGTATCACTAATACAGATGCTTGTTATCTTGAGAATTTATGATGCGATCAGTTTTACTGAAACTAAAAGTCTATTGAAAGAATTTTCAGACGAAATTTGGTTTATCAAAATGTTTAAAAGTCAGTGACTAGATTCATCAAATACAGTACCAACATATGGGGTGCCAGTAGAAACTTAGCAAATTGTTTTTAATGAGGTTTTTTTTAAAATTTAAATTAACATCTCAACACCTATTAAACCAAACTTGATAAAATTTTTTTATTTTAATTCTATAACTATATATATAGAATTCAAATAAAAAATTTTTTTATCAAGTTTGGTTTAATAGGTGTTGAGATATTTTAATTTAAAGTTAAAACAAATTACTTAGAAACAATCTGCTTGATTCTACTGACACCCCATATGTTGATTTGTGGTTATTTTTTTGAATTAATCCATAAACAGACATTTATACATTCTAACTACATATGATTTTTAAACCTACAAAATATATTAAAATATATACATAATAAAAGTTAAATATATATGTTGTAGGTGGGAACGGAGTTTAAGTGGATTTGGAATTAAAAAATTATAATTTTAGGTATACTTTATTTTATACAAACCTACATTTAACCCTAAAAATCCTAATACCGGTAAATTCAAAATTCATTTAAATTCCGTTTCCACTTACAACTAGTGTTTGGAACCGAATGTTTTAATTAGTGATCTCCAGCTTCAAATTTTATTTTGCACATAAAAAAAAAAACAGCACCAGATTTAATTAGTATAATCGTCATTGTATGTGCGTATGTACAGATGTACCTATTTAATTGGATGAAACTATCTAAAAACAATGGAGTGATCCGGTTTTATATTCAAATTTGATTCGAATCCGAAGGAAATCGGATTTAAATCCGATCTATATACACATATATATTAAATAAATAATTTGTATGATTTGTATCAGTATTTATTTCCTGAATTATAGCAGAGGACGACGATAACACGTGAGATGACTCAAATGGCCATTCACGTAATACAGTATAATTGTTGGTAATCTCTGTCATTCCGATCACACACAACATGCGACGTATTAATCACGTTATTGAATGATCGTTAATAAAATCCAATTAATACTGTAATATAAAAGTAAAATTTGTTTTATCTAATCACTAAGTGGCACCATCACATGTTATTTAATGAGCGTCATATGCATAACACGCTTAACTTTATTAACGTTTATTTCGGATATATATATATGTTTGAAATTTTTTTGGTTTCAAATTATTAACTTATTTAAGATGCATATACTAATTGTTGATCAAATACTTCGTAAAAGGTAATTGATGGGAATCCTTAATTAATTGATTAATCAGTAACCATTATTAACTTTATTCAGTTAAGAAAAGCAGTAATATGAAATTCTGCAGCATGCAATAAAAGGAAAGGTACATTGTTCAAAATTTATTATAATTTATATTACAACCTTGTGCAACTTTTATTATGTATTAAATATCAAAACAATTGTTTATTTATATATGCTAATCTCGCGTCCTTATTGTTTCATATTATGAATACTAGTTAGATACGATGTTAAAAAATCTTATTCCCTCTTAGTTTTCTTGTTTAGTGTAATTGTTTCAATCTTTTAAAACGTGGTTTCGCCTGGTTGCGAATAGCAAATTACGCTATCCACATACCACCACCTAAATTTACCCTGAAGTCCTTCCTTCCGACATCATTCACCAACATTCATCATCATTCATCATCACCTTTCCAACCTTTTCGTTAAAATGAAATTTATTACTTTCTTGTTTATCGCGGGTTTTTTTGTCACTGTAATCCACGCAAGAATAGAGACAACAACACCTTTTAAAGGGGTTGTTTGGAAAGCCGGCAGTACAGTAAATATAGAGTGGAGAGAAAATAAACTAAAACCCCTGCTAAAGGACTTAAAGCATGTAACCATTCACTTGCTTGCTGGTATATATCGATCAAATTTTTTTATATCACTTGTGAACAGCTGAAGCTGAAGATGGAAATTGGATCTATTTAATATGAACTTTTCGGGTCATTTATTTTAAGTTTAAGTTAGGGTTTAGGATTAGAATTGTTAATCAAAAAGTATGAAAGAACATAAGTGGATTTTTGTATTACGGCGCATTTATAAAATATCCAAAACTTGAAAATTTTGACTAATTAATATCCCGGGAGAGGGTGCATTATTGTCTATAGAGTTAGGTAGTAGGGAAGATGAGTTAGACGTGTTATAGATATAGATCAGAGGTCCAAAAACTTCAGAATTTAGCATTGATCCTAAAATTTAAATTTGAGGACAAAATACTTGAATTGATGAATGAATTTTAGCTTAATTTGATAAATGCGCCGTAATGAATAGATTTGGTAGGCTTAAATGGAATCTCAAGTCAGTCTCAACTTCAACCAATTTCAGTTTCAGCTTCCACATTTATTGTTTATACATGTATGTCGACATATTTAATGATTTAATAATGATTTAATAATGATATAGGTAATTCAACTAAGCAATTTGAAGTTAAAACTATTGCCAAAAATATTAAAGGAACAGCTCGAAGGCATAAATTTAAAGTACCAGAGAAACTGGGGCCCTCAGGAGATTTTTAGTATGTCTTATCTTTTTATATTATTCCATTTCTTAATACACCTGCTAGCATTTAATAACTTTTTTTCATAATTTTTTTATAGCGTTCTTAAATATACAGATTCACGACACCGTTCATACGTAGATTTCTCTGGTTATTTTACGATCAATGGAACAAAAGGTACTATCCCGGGCTTCGATCCGCCAACAAAAATTTTACCGACCACAACTTATTCCGCAACAGTTTCAGAACAAACACCTGATAATACGAATAGCGCAACCGGCGATGTAAATAATGGACCGTTAAGTAGTCCTACAAATCCTATTACTTCTCCTACTCCAATAAGCAGTGGATCAAGTAAGCAGTATCAAATTTCAATGTTTGAAGAAATTTCGCTAGGTGTTATTACTTTTGTTTTTATCGTAATCAGTAATAATTTAATGAACTTTTAAATATTTAATTATTGTTAATTGGATAAAGTTTTGCAAATTGATTTTAGAATCTATAAAAAAAAAAATTTGCATGTGATAATATTATAAAGGTTCCTTAATGTAAACAAAGTAGAATGTCAAATTTATAATTTACTTTGCATTATAGAAAATTGTAATAAGATTATTTGTAATAATCTGACCAAAATAAAAATATACGCGTGCGTACATGCTTTTTGCTGTGCATCATGTATTTTCTATATAGTCACTATACAATTATTGCACATTAAAGATATCTAAGTTACTGTATAGGTAATTTTTGTATATTAAAGATTTTTTTTTACAAATTAAACCATATAAAATTTGTACAGAAATAATCCAAACAATGAAATATATAAATGTACATTTTTTTTAATATATATATATATTTATTTTTTTGAGCCATTATAATGTTATGCAAAATTTTAATATAAAAATGGCAAAATTTTTACTGATTAAATGTGAGGGACTAACGTGAGGCCTATTCCAACTTGAGACGATAAATGTGAATGACCGACTTTGATTACTAATCAAAAACTCTCAAGTTGGATCAGGCCTCACATTGGTCCCTCGCAACTTTTATAAAAAAAAAAAAGACAAAACCTCACTTACTGTAAGGTTAGGGTAAGGTAGATTTATTGTTAGGTCAGAATGTAATTTCTTTTGTTAGAACCCGAAAAGTGTTTCATAATAGGGTTCTGCAAGAGCCGGACTGGGTTGAATATTGATATTTCAAAAGTCCAGATCCAGCCTATATTTGATTGGATAGAGCCAAAGCCCAGCCCATGACCGCATGGTTACAATCCCATGGATCCAAATTGCATAAAATTGCATAAACTATAATAATAAAATAAGCACGAGTTCGTAATTTTGACGTCAATGATAAGGATAATGACATCTACAATTTTGGCCAATCAGATTAAATATTGGGCTTTTGAATCTGGATCCAAATTTTTGAGACCAAGCTCAACCCATGCGGTACTAATCTATGGATTCTCCATGGATGCTCTATGGATATGCAGAACCCTATTTCATAGTCGAGAAACAATTTTTTGTAAAAATTTTACGTTACACGGATCTTAATATATACAATGTTTAAAAGCATTTTTTGAATTCTTAATGTTCTCAAAAATCTTTTAATGTCAATATTAGAAATTAATTTTTTTTAATATTTATCAAATGTTCTCAAATAGAGAGCATTTTCAAATAATTCATGTTCATAAAAATTGTTAAGCGTTCTGAGAACACTGAAAACATCAAATTTTAAATACTACATACACGTTATGTGTAAATTATATTTTATACCTGTTGAATAACTTTAAAACTTTAGCTAATGATTAAAATCAGATTTAGAAATGCGTCGTCGTATAAAACCTTTCGTTTTTTAAGATCCAAAGTCTGCTTAATGAAATGTTAGAATATGGCAATTCATAATCCCAAAAAACATTACTTATTACATACGTGAATAATATGAGAAGAGTGTACTCACCAGTGTCTGAAATTGGGTTGCAGACCGCAAACAATTTATAAGTTGCCACAACTAAAATTATAATCCACAAGTAGATCTTTTTATTTTGCAGTCCCGCAGCTAAATTAAAATTTGAATTTCACTGATACTTACGTACATACGTACTTAAAATACGTTATAACAGGTACAAGCTAATGTTCATGTATTTTTTGATGCAGATATCGAGATATGCCTTCACACGAGATGATTACGGCATTTCGCATGCTAACAATTACAGCAGTCAATGATTATGTTTTTAAATTTGGTATAATTTATCACTGATGACTGTAATATTGCTCAATTACAATTTTTGTTTTACAGGAGATAAGCGTCTCGCACAAGTCGCGCGTGATGTGAGATATGCACCATGTTTATCTTGCGTGAGGCATCTGTATCTCTAGTCTGTACTGATATTTACGCAAATAGGCAGTTGCAGCATTGCCTAGAATTTAAGGTTTAGAAAGATTGAAAAATTTTTAGACCCAAATTATTTCTCTGTCTTAAGGACTTTAGGCACAACCTAAAATTTTAATGAAATGATCATTTTTGGGTACTTTTAAGAGTAACCAAAAAGTCTGAGAGTCTAAATTTTCTGGACCAAACCACGATTATCTTTAAATCAACAATTTGATTCAAATAGAATTTACAAGGAGATACGCTTACACGTAATTAAAACCAGGTGATAATAATCGTTATGATCTGGATATATCTAAATCCAGATTTAACTATACGGACTTTAATCATCATCTGTTTTAAAATCCTTACTACACAATGGTGTTGCAAATTTTCGCATTATACACATGTTAATATTGAAATTTTTTATTGCCGGACGGCAAACAGCATGAAATGTCTTAAAAAGTTATCAATATTTTGTTTAAGCTTCAATTCTGTTAGAATAGACTTTTTTCTTTTATAATTTTGAAAAGTTATTTCAGTTTTAAAGTTTGCAATGTATTTATAACTTTGGCACCTAAACAATCAATTCTTTTTTTAATTTTTACGATGAGGCCATGCCTCTAACTTTATTGAAATTGATTATAAAATTTTAAATTTGGCGCTTTTAAATAATAATGGATGTTTTTTTTTACTATACTTGAGTTTTCACACAAAATAGAGTAATATGTATGTCAAAATAAAGACTGATTATACATCTATAATCGAGCTAATCTTAGTTATTTTGAACAAATGCATTATCTAATGTCGCAAAATGAAATATTTCCAATTTATTGAAGAAAATAACTGGAAAGACTTTATACAATTGTTATATAATGATTTTTTTAGCTTCTAAACTTACAAATCCAGGCGACACTTCAACAAAGATTCAATTCATCCAGTAGTAGAAATCTTTCCAGAATCATTGGGTTCTTCAGTCTTCTTGTCAGTTTGTATAAAGCATTTCTCAATTCTTTCAATATGATACTATATTTAATATTTAGAAATTTCAATATATGATCCAAATAATGATAATAACAATATATTATAAATAAAATGGAATACATACGAGCTTACGTCTAATAGCCCAAAAATTTTTAATCAACTTCATTCTGTCATTAATAGAATCAATACCCAAAGCTTTTAAATCTTTATAGTCCATATCGATAATCTCTCTCCAATTCTTATCCTTAAACGCGGGTGAATACTGTTCCATACCGATAGTTTTAAGATACCCAGAAAAGTCTAATAATTAATCAATAATTAACATAGTTACAAATAATAATCGATTAATTGAAATAAATATCAAAGGAATCCCGTCTATCATTGAATAAGTAAATATGCTATAATATAAACCTTCCAGTGATTTCAAATCAACATTAACTCTATCTTTACCACCCTTAAAGGGTAGCTTTTTTCCTTCCTTAATTGCCTACATTATTAATAAATCGAACAAAATGAGAAATCCTACAAAGATCTTTTTGTATTAATATAACGCCAATTAAACTTTCCTGTTAAATAATATAAAGCAAACTTACAAGATTACATCTTATAATCCAAAAACATGAACCTAATTTCCATGCTGACTCTATATCTTTAACACCCATTAATGTTAATTCATAACGGCTTAGTTTTATAATATCTTGCCACCTCATTCCTTCAAATATGGAAGAATATCTAAGCATTCCACAACCTTCTAACCAGGCAGTGAAATCTTTTTTAAAAAAAAAACAAACAAAAGGTTAATATAACAGATAATTAAAACCACAAAGAATTATAAATAGTGATATTTACATTTATTCACAAATAAATTTAATAAAGTATAATTTAGAAAATAAACATGCCTTCCAATAAATTATAATTAACACGATCATATAAATTATCTCTCATCCACTTAATACGATTATATAAAACCACTTCGGCTATTTCTGGTGAATATGGAATATATGAGCGCTTACGCTTATTATGAGGAAAATCGAGTTTCGTATTGTTTTCATTTATATTATTATTGGTACTTTCAGTAGTTAAACTACGAGTAAATGAAGAATTGATGGATTTAATAAATGCTGCATTCGAGAATTGAAAATTTGTAAGTGATCTCGCTGAAATTAATTTTGTCGTGGTTTGCTTTATTCTAACTACATTAGCGCCACCAACATTGAAAAATTTAGCTCTCGCCACATTAAGAACAAATCTCATTGTTGTCATTTTTATTTGTTAAAACTAATTTCGATTTCAATTCTCCGTTATAAAAAAAAAAAAATCTTAATCACATGAATTTTTAAAATTTGAACAAAAATCATGCATTGATTGGCTGCATTACGGATCTTTCGATTTTTTCAGATCTTGCTGTTATTTTCGTTCAATAAAACAATTTTGCAAAGTAACCAGAGATCACTCGACTTTTTAAATGGTCGCCGACAAGCTAGTAGTGGCAATCACATTAATAAAAGAAACAATATCAATAATGCACAACACTTAAAGGTCATAATAACTTTGAAATCTACCTCATTGTCATCGCTATCTCTGATCGACCAATCAGAATGCAAGATCTGGTGAATTTTTACAGGGGATCCGGGTCAGATTCATCGATACAAGTCAACCATTTCTGGGCAAAATTATCAGCTGGGCAACTTTACTTAATGACTTCATTAGTAAAACTTTTAGTTGCCTTGGGCAAAATTAGTTAGGGACCTCCCTGTAACGCTAGTTCATTGGTGTAATGTGAAAATTTATTGCGAAATTTCGGGTTAGCGGTCAAGTGTAATTTTCAAAGTAATGTTTTAATTAAGGTTACAGCACATATCGATATGAAATAATAGGACTATCTATATGTTTTGTAAGAAAAAACAGTTTTCGCTTCTAAGCTAACACATGTATCTTAAAATATAACTATTATTTCATATTTTTAAATGACATATTTTTTCCTTATATGTCAAAAACCTTTGCAGTATCTTATTTCGAAATTGCATTTTGAGATTACGTATCAATGAAATTAAGCTCGAAATTTGGTTGATGTGACAAATATATATATTTGCGTATGTTAACGTTTAAAAAAAAAAGTGAATACAGTAGTATTAATAGCATTTACTCATAATTCTTCTAATGAGTTCACCAATAAAAATATGAATAGTACTTACCAAAACATTTTCATACCTAAGGTCTTGAAAAATATTTATGATATGCAAAGTGAAAAAAGATCTTTAAATGATCCATACTCAGCCCAATTAAAAACCATAATTTTTTGTGAGAGACCATAGAAATGGTGGATGTATGACGAATTTAATTTTCCAAATATTGCTAAATGACCTTGGGAATACGTATTTAGATTCTTTGAAGTTTTCGCATTCAACTTCAATTGTACCATAAAACTTTTTAATAACACAAGTAGAACTCTTTTTTGAATCAATCTTTTTCACATAGTTATCACTTGACTGTTTAAATTATATCTAGAATCTTGAACCCCAGCACCAACTTCCTTGTGTGTCTAAAATAAAAACATATATTAAATAAATAGAAATAAAAAGAAAATATCATATAATCAACATTTCTAAATAATTCTTTATCAGTTATACTTAGTTAATCTCTTTTAGAGAGTCATCGACTTTTCGTGACTCTTAATCTTTATTAGCAATAGCAAAATGTAAAATTTCCATATATTCATTATATTCATTATATTCTTTTGCATATTTACTTTTAATTTCTTTTGTATTAATATATATATTATTTTTTATTTTTTATTTTTTTAAAAACCCCTTGATGCTTGTGCACCATGGGACGTTGGTCGGTATACTATATAAATCAAAATTATATGTGGTCATATAATAAAACTTATTAATAAAGATTTTTCGATAGTTGATAATTTTATAATAATTATTATAAAAATTTAAACAGATGCACAGCTTTAACGGTTTGATAGATTTGGTCAAAATTTTGCAAAGACCAGTATTTCATCTCTACAAACAAAGTTACAGTGCCATTTCTTGAAAAAAGAAACTAAATTCTTTCTTTCTTGCCTTTTTTTCATGAACCAAAATACTAGTTTTTTTTTTTCTTGAAAAAAAGGCAAGAAAGAAAGAATTTAGTTTTCTTTTTTCAAGAAATGGCACTGTAACTTTGTTTGTAGAGACGTAATACTGGTCTTTGCAAAATTTTGACCAAATCTATCGAATCGTTAAAGCTGTGCATCTGTTTAAATTTTTATAATAATTATTATAAAATTATCAACTATCGAAAAATCTTTATTAATAAGTTTTATTATATGACCACATATAGTTTTGATTTACATAGTATACCGAACACCCCAATGGGACGTCGTATGACGCAATTTATTAATCATTAATATAACCTTTGATAATTAATATTTTCTTAGTAAATTCTTTGACATTTGTTAACACGTTTCAAACCGTTTAAATACGTTATAATATCCTTTTTCTTCATCACTTCATATATTTTTTTAATGACATGTTTCGTAATTTTTATTCGACTTGTCACAATTCAACAAATTTCTTTATTACATCTTGTATTTTTGTATTCTCGTAAATTTAAAATTTATTTAGCTATAATATTTATTGTAGCTATAATATTTATTGTATCGCCTATAGGACAATTATACGAAAATAAGGGTTGTTTTCTGTAGTAATTTCGATTATATTATTCATAGTAATGATAAATAAACGTTAAAATATCATGCTGCTTTTTAACAATTTTATAAATAAGTTGTAACGATCACTACTGTACCGCTTTGGAAATGAGCCAATGCGCATTCATGTGCATGATTCCATCTTTTACTACACTACGTACTGATAATTGAAAATGGGCTGAGATTGCGTAACATGTATGAAGATACGTACGTGCTGTTAAATACGTAAATTAAACTAATTTGTTGACAATAATTTGCCTAAAATAAAATCGTTTGCCTAGATTAAAGATTTGAATGGAATGGAAGAAACTTTGTTCAATGACCTTGTTTTGCCAACCGCGTGGAATATTGATGATAAATCACAGTTTGTTAACATAGATTCAAGTGGGCTTAAAGTGAACTATACAGGTAAGATTAGATGTGTAATAAATTGTAATAAGAGAAATTTCTCAGAAATATATTATGTCATATTGTTAAAAAAATTTTTTTAAAAGATCCTAATGATTATAAAGCTGTTGTAATTCGAGCCAATAATCCAATTCCTTCACAATGCGGATTGTTTTACTTTGAAATTGAAATTATAAATAAAGGAAAAAATGGGTAATACTGATTAATTATTGTCGCAGCTGATGTTGAAATTGACTGATGTTGAAATTTGGGGTCTCAATTTGAAAATATAAGCTCAGCATCCATATATACACTTTAATTTTAAATTCTAGCCCAAAATTCTAAAAAAAAACACCCCAAACAATTTAAAATTTCATATCAAAAATAAGTCCAAATTTCAGCATCAGTCATGACAATTATTTCATGTACTAACTTATATCATTATTATTATTATAATTTTCATAATCGCTTCAATCCTATTTATTAATAGAATGATTGGAATAGGATACTGTACAAAGCAAAGTTATATAAACGATTTCATGCCTGGTAATAACGGACATTTCTATTTAATTTTATTATTACATATTAATGCTGTCATAATATCTCTTAGGATGGAAATATGAAGATAAAGAAAATAAGGAAAATAAGTCATGGGGGTGTGCTTACCATGGTGACGATGGATATTTTTTTTGTTCCGGAAGTGGCAAACCATATGGACCGACATATACTGTTGGTGATACAATTGGATGTTATTTAAATTTTAGAAATGATGATAAGATGATATTTTATACTAAAAATGGTATAAATCTAGGTAAATTCAAATTATTTTTGATATATATCGTTATTCTTAATGATTTTAAGTTAATTAATAAGAATATGATATTTAATTATGTTTCAAGGAATTGCATGTTATCTTCCAAATGATTTAGATAATTTAAAAAATAATTTGTATCCTTGCATTGGACTAAGATCGCAAGAAGCGTTTGTCGAGGCAAATTTTGGACATAAAAAGTTTAAATATTTAAGTAAAGTTTATTTAACATTAAATTCGATACATATTTAAAATTGTTAATAACTATAATATTTCTTTATGGATAGCAATGACTAATGATGATATTGGTAAAGAATTATGGGAAGCATGCTGGATCAATTTTAAAACCTTTGATCAATACGTAAACGAATTAAAAAATAAACCAAATGATACATTTGCACTAATATCTCGAGGAAAATCTTACTTAATTATAGGCAGATACAAAGAAGCATGTGAAGATTTAACTGGATTAATTAGATCACTAATAGAAGAGGGAGAAGAAGATTTAGCTGGTTTAATTAGATTGCTAACAGAAGAGAAAAAAGATTTAGCTGGCTTAATTAGATCACAAATAAAAAAGGAAGATTTAGCTGGTTTAATTAGACTGCTAATAAAAAAGGATGATGATTATGAGGAATGGGACGAGAAGGATGATGATGAGAAAACGGAAGAAGAGGAAAAGAATGATGATGATGGTGATGATAAGAAAGAAGATTTAATTAGCAGCTTAATTAGATGGCAAATAAAAAAAGAAGAGGAGGATCATGATGAGAAAGGGGAAAAAAAAAGAGGATTATGATAATGATGAGGAAAAGGAAGAAGAGGAAGAGGATGATGATAAGGTGGAGAAAAAAGAAATGATAAAAAAATTGGAAAAATCAATTACCAACTTAATAAAATTAAAGAAATCGTTAGTAATAGCACTAAGATATCGAGGAGAAATTAATTTTATAATGAAAAGGTATAGAGAATCAATTGCCGATTTGGATAACTTATTAAAAATTAAACCAGATGATGCATGGGCAAAAAAAGCTCGTGAATTAGTAAAAGAATTGTAAGTATAATGTACTCATAAAAATTAGTATCTTAAAAAGACATAAACTTACATAGTTTAAATACTCACACCAGTCTGTAAGTAATTGGAGTCTGAAACTCGAAAATTTTAAACCAGAAATGTCGATTATATTCCAACAGTAATAATATAACATTAACCAATTCACATACAATGCTCTATATTACGACAGTGAGTAAGTAATACGGAATAAGAAAATTTTTAAATCAGAAATGTCGATTATATTCCAACACAAATAATATAACATCAACTACTCTATATTACATTACAATAGCCGGTGAGTAATACGAAATAAGAAAATTTTTATCGCGGTTTGCAAATTGATGCAACTGATGGTTACTGAGAAATCGCAAAATCACGTACAATCGAACAGTCAGGCATGCAGTGATCTGCAAATTTATCAAAAGTCGCATCAATTTGCAAACCGCGATAAATCAGAAATGTCGATTATATTCCAACACAAATAATATAACATTAACCAATCCACATACAATACAATACTCTATATTACGACAGTTA